TGAGCTCTACTAGGTCCTCTCTCTCCCTGCTTCGTGAGCTTTATCATACCTCATATCTGCCTCCACTACATCACTTGCTAAACTGTTCCACTTCCTAACCACTCTATGACTTAAGAAATACCTCCTAACATACCTTTGACTCATCTGAGTCTTCAACTTCCAATTGTGACCTCTTGTTTCTGTGTCCCATCTCTGGAACATCCTGTCTCTATCCACCTTGTCTATTCCCCGCAGCTCTGTACACTTTTACCATTCATAAACCCATAGAGATTAGGTGCGAGTTGATGTCTGATTCTATAGTACAGTCTGTTAAGTGTCCGCGTTTCCAAAGTTTTACAATGACAGTTAGTTAATGTATTAGGCTGTTGCTAATTAGGGATGGGTACAACGAGACTATTGGTGCAGGAAGTAGGCAGAACACTCCATGTAACTGAGATGATTCAGTGTTAATAAGGAGTTATTTTATTACAAGTTCCTTAGTTATTTTCATATATCCCGGTATTTTCCTTTCTATTTCATGGATTTGTTGAGTAGGAAGAGAGAAAGTGAATAATTAGAAGAGGAGTAGAAGGAGGAGGAGAGGGAAGAGAAGGAGGAGGAGAGGACACTCACTGCCGTGTCTTCTTGTCACGTAATTATCCTTAAGTATTGTTTATTTACGTGTCTGTGTTTCTCCTCATCCTCTTCTCTCCCCAAGTTCTCTCTCCTTCTCTTCTTCCCTTCATTACTTCCCCCTCTCCTGCTTCTCTCTCTCCTTCCCTAGCTCCTCTCTCTACTGTCCTCCTCTGTCCGCCCCCCTCGCCTATGCTTCCTCTCCTCTCCTCTCCCATCTCCCCTTCTCTTGCCCCTCTCTCCTCTCTCTCTTTTCTCCAGCTCTCCTCCACTCTTCTCATTCCCAGCTTCCTTCCTTCACTCGTTTCTCTCCCTCCTTTTCCTCTTCTTCCCCAGCTTCCCGCCCTATCCGGAAATACCCTCCCCTCCTTCCTTTCCCTGTTATTTTTTCCTCCCCACCTCCCCTTCTCCATTCCTTAGCTTCCCTGCCCTACATTTTCTTACCCATTGCTCCTCTTCCCCTCCCAAATCTCCCCTCCTTCCCCATCACTGGTTCAAGCTCTCCGTCTCTTGTCCCATAACCAAAGCTCCTTATAATCTCCCAGCCTCATTCCTACATCTGTTCCCCATTTCTATCCCCATCTACCCTCCTCTCCCATCAACTTTTCTCCTCTCCAATCCGCCTTCCTCGCCTCCCCTTCTCTTCCTTCTTTCCCAGCTTATCTCCCCATTCCCCCTCTCTCCCCAACGTCAGATCTGCTCCCCAATTCCTGTCTCCGTCTACTCTCCCCTACCTCTCTCTTCAACGCTGCTTTATTTTCTCTCCATTCATTTTATCTTTCCCCTCCCTTTCTCCGGCCCTCCCTTCCCCCACCCTCCTTCCCTCCCTCCCTCCCTCCCTCCCTCCCTCCCTCCTTCCTTCCCTCCCTCGTCGACTATCCTTCCTGTTGCCATTTTTTTTTCACGCCCTGTGAGAGGTCCTTCATAAAAACTGTCCCCTGACTGTCTCGCTACTTACCATATACTCCTCTCTCTCTCTCTCTCTCTCTCTCTTCTCTCTCTCTCTCTCTCTCTCTCTCTCCTTCTCTCTCTCTCTCTCTCTCTCTCTCTCTCTCTCTCTCTTCTCTCTCTCTCTATCTCTCACTAGAAACATAATTATCCACACCAGACTCCTTTCATAAGTCTTAATACTAAGATAATGCGCTTCTTGGCGACACTAGGGACAGGATCATTCTGGACGGGTCTACCTACCTAGAGGTTATTCCGGGGATCAACGCCCCCGCGGCCCGGTCCACGACCAGGTCTCCGGATAAATCAGGGCCTGATCAACCAGGCTGTTACTGCTGGCCGCACGTAATCCAACGTACGAACCACAGTCCGGCTGATCCGGCACTGACTTTAGGTATCTGTCCAGCTCTCTCTTGAAGGCAGCCAGGGGTTTATTGGTAATTCCCCTAATGCTTGATGGGAGGCTGTTGAACAGTCTTGGGCCCCGGACACTTACGGTGTTTTCCCTTAGTGTACCAATGGCGCCCCTACTTTTAACTGGGGGCATTTTGCATCGCCTGCCCAGTCTTTTACTTTCGTAGGGAGTGATTTCTGTGTGCAGATTTGGGACCATTCCTTCCAAGATTTTCCAAGTGTAGATTATGATATATCTCTCCCTCCTGCGTTCCAACGAGTACAAGTCAAGTGCTTCCAAGCGTTCCCAGTAGTTAAGGTGCTTGACAAAATTTATAGTGCAGTAAATGAATCTCTGTACACTTCTAGATCTGCGATTTCACCTGCTTTGAATGGAGATTTTTAAATGTACAGCAGTACCAGCAAAAAAAAACAAGTGATTTTGAAAAGGTTCATCATTGGTTTGGGGCATCTCTCGTTTTAAACGTTTCTTTTACCCCATCCAAAATCATTTTCTTTGACTTGTGATCGTCATGTTGTGATCCTTGAAAGTGAGATCCTCAGCATTACTACCCCAGCCCCTTACAAATTTTTTTTTTCCGCTCATTGTAGGGCCCCGGAGTTAGTAATACTCTTTTCTAGATTACTCCTCCGTTTTCCAAAACGAGTAGTTGGAATTTGCCCTCTTTGGCGTATATTTTTTTTCCGTTGCCCACTGGAAAACTTTGTTTATACTTTTTGGGAGGTAACCGCGTCCTCTTGGGTGACGGCCTCTGCAGACCCTGTATACCGCAAAGGAGATATGGTGCTGGGGATTACACCTGTCTATTCTGATATGAGGAAAAGGAAAAGGGATGGGGGATATGTGCCTTTTGGAACAAAGCCTTCATATGGCCCTCCAATTTAACTCTGTGACCACTACTCTTTTTTTTCATTGGTAAGAATTTGAAGATCCATCTCCCCACTTTGCCAGTATTCCCTTTAGCACTTTTTTTGTGGCTTTTACCCCGATCACACTTTTTAAAACCCTTTTGTGAATCATGTATATTATTCTCATTCTGTTTTTTTTCCCATGCACCAACCATATCAAAATGACCCAGTAGTTTGAGGGCAGGAGCGACCTGCCCTGCCCCCTGTTGCCCGGATTTGCAGTTTTGGGAATCCAATGATTTGCAAACCCCTTTCTTAGCACTCTTTCAAAGATTTTTATGATGTGGGACGTCAGAGCTATTGGTCTATAGTTCTTAGCTAATGCTTTGCTGCCACCTTTATGGAGTGGGGCTATATCCGTTGTTTTAAGTGACTGTGGAATTTCACCCATGTATAAGCGCCTTCTCCATAGTATACTAAGGGCACACTAGAGGGGTTTCTTGCAGTTCTTAATGAACACAGAGTTCCACTAGTCTGGGCCCGGGGCTGAGTGCATGGGCATGTTGTCAATGGTTTTTTCAAAGTCTTTCAGAGTCAGGGTAATGTCGGAAATCTGGCATACATTGATGGAATTTTAAGGCTCATTTATGAAGAAATTATTTGGGTCGTCGATCCTCAGACTGATTAGTGGCTCACTAAACACAGAGTCGTACTGGGATTTCAATATTTCACTCATTTCCTTGTTGTTATCTGTGTAAGTCCCATCCTGTCCGAGTAAGGGCCCGATACTTGATGTGGTATTTGCCTTGTTTTTGGCATATGAAAAGAAATATTTCGAATTTCTTTCAATTTCACTAATAGCTTTAAGCTCCTCTTGTCTCTCCTGGTTCCTGTAAGAGCCCTTTAGCTTAAGTTCGATAGTTTCCACTTCCCGGGTCAGTGCTTCCTTCCGTGTATCAGATATTCTAGCGTTCCTGAGGAGCTCAGTGATTCTTCGTCTTCTGTAGAGGGAGCATCTTTCTCCAGTTTACTCCTGCTTTTCTTTCTTAGGGGAATATGCCTAGAACATGCTTCAGCTGCCAGGAAGTTGATCCTTTCAAGACACTGGTTTGGATCCATGTCATTTAAGATATCTTCCCAACATGTTTCATTTAAGACATGGTTTACCTGGTCCCAGTTGATGTTCTTGTTGCTGAAGTTGTATTTTGTGAAGACACCTTCACAGCTACATGCATTTTCCTGGTCAGGACCCCTGTGCTTGTAAGTCTGGACTTTGATTAGATTGTGATTGGAATTAGTTGGTTTTGATATTCTTATGTCTCTTATCAGGTCCTCATTATTAATGAAGATAAGGTAAAGTGTGTTTTCTAGTCTTGTTGGCTCCACTATCTGCTGGCTTAAGTTGTGTTTATCGCAGAGACTTAGTAGCTCATGTGTGTGTGACCTTTCATCTGCGCTACCTCAGGGGATTGTTTCAGCTATAACATTATTTGCTACATTCTTCCATTTTGTATGCCTTAGGTTGAAATCACAAAGCAGTAAGATGTTTGGGGATGGAGTTGGAATATTTTCTCAACAGTAATCAATTTTCAGTAGCTGTTCCTTGAACTGGTGTGGGGTTGCATCTGGTGGCTTTTTACAACCACAATGACTAGGTTTGGTCTCAATCTTTATTGATAGAACTTCAACTACCTCATTTGTGGTGTTCAGCAATCCGTGCAGATGAGGGCTCTTTGACATACAGGCAACCCCTTGTTGCCTGTTCATTCTGTCACATCTAAAAAGGTTGTAACCACTATCCTATTTCACTGTCTAAATGTTGATCTTTTGTGTGAGTCTCTGTGAAGGTGCAAAACATATGCATTAGGACTCCTCTGAAGTCCACTGGTAAAAGGTATTTTGTTGTTATGGATGGTTAGGCCCTTTATTATTAGCAAATATGAAGAGGTTGTATTCTGATATTTGTTGGGTTGTTCGATCTCTGCAGAGGCGTCGACAACTGTTTGGAGTGTCTGACACTCGGAGCGGAGTACGGACTGCCATGGGTTGGTTCTTGGTTCTCCAGGTATGTTTCAGACTTCACTGAATTAAACCATTTGTACAAATCTTCTCTCTCTCTCTCTCTTCTTCTACAGACTCCCTGCACTGTATGCTGTTCTTCTTCGAATCTCTAAGGT